TAGATTATCATAGAAAAACGGAAAATTTGCATCATAAAAATGGAAATATCTACTTTCCGAAAGTGTTATCTACTTCTCGAAAAGGATAGATTTTTCATTATCTGAGTAGATTTGGGGAAATATTTAATTTCAGTAGATATCAGACGAAATTTGTATCATAAAAAATGGGAAATATCTACTTTCCGAAAGTCGATAATCTACTTTCCCGAAAAGAAGAAAATCTATCTACTTTTCGGGAAAGTAGATAACCAACTTTCCCGGAAAGTAGATATTTCCCATTTTTTATGATACAAATTTCCGTTTTCTATGATAATCTACTTCGCAAAATTAGGTAATATTTCCCCCAAAATTCGAAAATCTACTTCCCCGAAAAGTCGATAATCTACTTTCCCGAAAAGTAGAAAATCTATCTACTTTTCGGGAAAGTATATAACCAACTTTCCCGGAAAGTAGATATTTCCCATTTTTTATGATACAAATTTCACGTTTTCTATGATAATCTACTTCGCAAAATTAGGTAATATTTCCCCCAAAATTCGAAAATCTACTTCCCCGAAAAGTCGATAATCTACTTTCCCGAAAAGTAGAAAATCTATCTACTTTTCGGGAAAGTATATAACCAACTTTCCCGGAAAGTAGATATTTCCCATTTTTTATGATACAAATTTCCCGTTTTCCATGATAATCTACTTCGCAAAATTAGGTAATATTTCCCCCAAACTTCGAAAATCTACTTCCCCGAAATGTCGATAATCTACTTTCCCGAAAAGTAGAAAATCTATCTACTTTTGGGGAAAGTAGATAACCAACTTTCCCGGAAAGTAGATATTTCCCATTTTTTATGATACAAATTCCCCGGTTTCTATGATAATCTACTTCGCAAAGTTAGGTAATATTTCCCCCAAAATTCGAAAATCTACTTCCCCGAAAAGTCGATAATCTACTTTCCCGAAAAATAGAAAATCTATCTACTTTTCGGTAAAGTAGATAACCAACTTTCCCGGAAAGTAGATATTTCCCCATTTTATGATACAACTTTCGGATTCCCGTTTTTATGATAATCTACTTCGCAAAAAGTCGATAGGTAATATTTTACAAAAGATGTCGACAATCTACTTCGAAAAGTCGATAATCTACTTTCCGGAAAGTAGAAAATGTATCTACTTTTCGGGAAAGTAGATAACCAACTTTCGAAAGTAGATATTTTCCCATTTTTATGATACAAATTTCCCGTTTTCTATGATAATCTACTTCTTAAAATTAGGTAATATTTCCCCCAAAATTCGAAAATCTACTTCCCCAAAAAGTCGATAATCTACTTTCGAAGGTAGAAAATGTATCTACTTTTCAGAAAGTAGATAACCAACTTTCCCGGAAAGTAGATATTTCCCATTTTTTGTGATACAAATTTCCCGTTTTCTATGATAATCTGCTTCGCAAAATTAGGTAATATTTCCCCCAAAATTCGAAAATCTATTCCCCCGAAAAATCAATAATCTATTTTCCGAAAAGTAGAAAAATCTATCTACTTTTCGGGAAAGTAGATAACCAACTTTCCCGGAAAGTAGATATTTCCCATTTTTTGTGATACAAATTTCCCGTTTTCTATGATAATCTGCTTCGCAAAATTAGGTAATATTTCCCCCAAAATTCGAAAATCTATTCCCCCGAAAAATCAATAATCTATTTTCCGAAAAGTAGAAAAATCTATCTACTTTTCGGGAAAGTAGATAACTTTCTAACTTTCCCGGAAAGTAGATATTTCCCATTTTTTACCTTGATGCAAATTTCCCGTTTTCTATGATAATCTCGCCTTCGCAAAATTAGGTAATATTTCCCCCAAAATTCAATCTACTTTCCCGAAAGTCGATAATCTTTCCCGAAAAGTAGAAAATCTATCTACTTTTCGGGAAAGTAGATAACCAACTTTCCCGGAAAGTAGATATTTCCCATTTTTTATGATACAAATTTCCCGTTTTCTATGATAATCTACTTTCGCAAAATTAGGTAATATTTCCCCCAAAATTCGAAAATCTACTTCCCCAAAAAGTCGATAATCTACTTTCCCGAAAAGTAGAAAATCTATCTACTTTTCGGGAGGGTGGGAAGGTGTCAGCATGGAAGGGAGTGCGTGTGTGGATGGGAGGTCCTCCCATCCACTCACCCTTCCTCCCATCCACTGACTTTCTCCCATCCACACACTCTTCTTCCCATCCACACCCATTTCCTCCCATCCACACACCCTTCCTCTCCTTCACACACCCTGAAAGAGTTTTTAAATCTTTCAGATTGTGTGGCTGGCTCAGGTGGACGGCTGATTGGCTCAGGTGGAAGGCTGGATGGCTCAGGTGGACGGCTGGCTGGCTCAGGTGGACGGCTGGCTGACTCAGGTGGACGGCTGGTTAAACCACATTTTTCAGAGAATATGAGCCAACCTGAAGCCACCTGAGCATTCTTCGGTGGTTGTGGTTAGGTTGGGAACCATCTGCTTTCATATACTATGATTAATGAATAAATTTGGGTTGTGTTGTTTACATAATCATAAATAAATAATTTAATTGTCTCGGTCTTTGTACATTACTAACATTTTAGATTTTGCTCTTGTAAACTAATGGGTGATGTTTTTGGAACCCCTCGCCTCACTCACACAAATTAGGGACAAATTTATTGTCATTAGTTGTAGAATACTGTCTCTTGGTTATTGTATAGAAACACTATAAAACTTATACGAATAACAATACTAAACAATAATGCCAAGTGTAATTATGTTCCTTTTCTTCGATAATGACTGTGCAAGTTATAAGGGACTGTCCGAGTAAAGGTGAATAACTCTAGATTTTATTCCAAAACTGTGTTTAATTTCCATTTAAGTCTATAAAATTTAAACATGTACATTCATATTCAATCAATTCGTCTTAAAACTACAAACCAGTCATAAGAATTTCTTAGAGTAAACAAAGTGACCTTATCTTGTATTGTATTGGCAGCACCTTCATTTGTTTGTCCGTCGAGGGCAAATGGCGCGGGGTCTCCTACCTAAAATAAAATAATACAGGAAAACTAAGACATGCCTTTTAGTGATGTGTACCAGGTAGGGATTATAACTTCTGAACTACCGGCTGAAAGGACCACCCTCTGTACTTAAAATCAGCACAAGATTCATAAATACAGCAACTGTACTGAGAATGATACATGACATCTGTACTGAAGACTGAGAAGACTAATGCGTCTACTGTACTTTTGATCACTATGACTATAATACATTTTCTCTGTACCTTTGACGTTATAGTAAGACGATTCAGAAATTTCCACCATGACACATCATTCCAAAGCAAGACATTATTTTACCTGTATAAAATGCAGAAAGCAAAATCCTATGTCAAGAAATTTCTACAAATCTGTTATTACAACTTATTGATAAAAGTAACAGTAAAATGCACCACTTCCCCTCCTCAGTATCTTTCCCTTCCACACTTCACTTTGTCTATCTCTCCCCCACCTCTCCCCTTCCACACCATTCCTTAACAGCTCTTGTAAACTTAAACCTTCACAGCATGTTTCTCAAGTCCTCACCCCGTCATTCACGTTCACAGGTGACATATTTATTATTATATTACTGTATCGATACATAACTGCAATATTACACAACCATGTACCTTATTTTAATACTTTCTGTCAATGGTGAAAATGACAAACTGTTTGACCTAACCTCAGTGCTCCTCTCACCACTGGACTGAAGAATGCATCACCTGGTCATCACCTATACTAATTACAATACAGGTATTTACAGACATAACATAAACCTCTGAGACTTGTTTCATCAACTTTAGTTTCAGCTTACACCTACAACATGTAATGAAGAATACAGGAAATTTTAAAAAATAATCTGAGACATACAATATATAGATGAATGTGTTACATGTATTTTAGAAATACTCCACAGTACTTAAAACATTTACAGGTTATTTAAAACATTTTTTTTACTCATATTACATCAACATGAAGGAAAAATCAAGCAATTTGCCAGCAAGTCGTACCATTAGTGGTGGATGACGTCAGTGTAAGGCAAAGATAAAATATTCACAGATGATAACGATATCTACAATGGTATAAAGAATTACCTTCAACAGTAATAATAAAAGTTCTTCTCATGGCTCATAGTATTGGTTGTGGTTCACGACAACACTGATGCATCATTAGGACCTGAACACTTTATACACAAGAAACAGTGAGAGGTGTTCGCTGCCTCTCAGTTTCTGGACCAGTAATGATAACTGTTCAACCTTTGTGATCAGTGAAGGCTTCAGCTGGTGGGGTTTTTGTTTTTATATTATTTCACCAATTAAAGTAATTTATTTGAAAAGAGAATGTCTGGTTAGACAAATTTATGAAGTTCTGTTGGAGGTTTATCTTAGTGTTACTGTACTATAATGCTGTATATAGTATTATCAAACAAAATATTATTGGTTTCAGAATAAATGTCTCCATCAGAGGAAATATATTGAAGCTTTCGGCCCTAAAAACTCAAATTATATAACAGCTGTACACCAAACTTAAGAAGTGATTATGTTACTGTACTGTACAGCGTGCAAATACAAAGGCGACAGTGTTCAAGTGTGTGTGTGTGTGTGTGTATATGTATATGTGTATATATATATATATACTGTATATATATATATATATATATATATATATATATATATATATATATATATATATATATATATATATATATATATATATATATATATATATATATATATATATATATATATATATAACATTAGGAGATGAATAATGAATTCTCAACCTTCAGTGAATGTGACAGTCAGTATACAGTAGTGAAGCAACCACAGCCCTTATTTCCTCCCATATATTCAGCCATTAAAACAATAATAATACTTAGCATTGACCATAGGTTTGACTTCAAGTCTTATGTAGTCTTCACTTTGATGTGTTACTTTTTAGAAAGAAATATTATTCAGAGAAGTCAAGAGCAGAAAAGAGAAAGACGTATCATGATTTACTGAGAAAAGCTTCCCTTACACTTCAACACTGCCATGTGAAGTAACCGAGTCACTGTGTTATAGTGCCGCGATAAGTTAAATCATGACAAGAACAAAATTCTGGACACAGTATTACACAAACAACATTTAGAATTATCTCTACAGGATATTAACATCCTAAGTTATATCACCTCGTGAAATAAACACAAACTTTCACCCCAGCAAGAAATAAACAACATTTAGAAACTACTAAATGTGCAAGAGCAAGGCATCATCTCTCTAGAGGCTGGAGTATGTGGCGACGACTTGCGTGGCAGAAGTGTCGACGTAACCCCAGTATCATGCAGCGTAGCTCAGCACGGGGTCGTCGCCGATCTTGTTGTTGACATAAAGTGGACTCTTGCAGGCACGTACCACCACCAGTCCCAGCCGAGCCACGAAGCAGAACACAGCCACGCCCAGCAGTACCACAATGAAGTAGCCGGTCTCTTTGGTGGCCTCGGCGTACTGCTTGATGTAGATTCCCACCATCGCCAACACCACCACTGGAGAACATCAGGAGACATGAGTGACTTTTACTTCTATTATTGTTTTTGGAAATATTAAGTATAAACAGGTGAACAACAGACATCACCTGGAGGTTCATTACGTTTTGTTAAATATAATATGACAGTGTAAGAGAAAGGGGCATTGCAAATGACCAATGCTTCTTGTAAATGTTAGGACAGTTAGGTACATGTGTGTGTGTGTGTGTGTGTGTGTGTGTCAAAACAAAAATTAAAAAGAATAAATCCCTGCCAACTGACCAGCGTAAGGGGTGACAGTATAGCGGACGAAGCGGTCGAGTGCAGTGTTCTCCAAGATGAACCAGAGCACCATGATGCCAGAGAGTGACCCCAGGACCACGTATACCACTATCTGCATCTCCATCCCAGCCACCTCCCTAGATATAGGTAGAGGAAGGTTAATACATCGTGCAGGAAGAGGGGGAGGCGGAGGTAGAAGAGAAGGAGTAGGAGGGGGAGGAAGAAGAGGAGGAGTAGGAGGCGGAGGAAGAGGCGGAGAAAGAAGAGGAGGGGTAGGAGGGGGAGGAAGAAGAGGAGGAGGAGGCACAACTAGGAACTAGCATGGTAAAAAATTAAACCATGGGAGTTATTTAAGTCAGAGTCTGCTGCTGCTTTACTACCTGAAGGTGGAACATTACTACAAGGTGGATAAACATACAGGTGGGTGAGGTAGACAGGTGTTTTGACAGAGAAGGTAAGACTCGATGGAGATGAGGAAGTCCAGAAGGCGTGATAGAGGAAGATTATCATCATGATATAATATTTACACATTATCTTTAGTTTCACTTTTGTATAATAATGAAAGTATTAGGCAGAATCCAATTATGATGTCCTCATGAGACTTTCTGTTTTACTAATTCCAACAATGTTAACTGCCTGATATTATACAATGTTACAAACACAAATCCGATGTTGAACCAGGGTGCAGTTAAGAGTTTTCCCTAATGTCATTAAGAGATAAAACTTTGAGGGCAAAATGACATGAAAAGGGAGACATAAAAATGGGACAAGACTAAAAGGAACAATGTGGGAAGGACAGCAGAGACCTTTAGGGAGGAGTAAACATAAGGTCAAAGATGAGGGGAAGAAGAACCGACAAGAATGATGGAAAAAGGGAAGGGAAGGGGAGGGGAGGAGAAAGAGACCACAGGAGGGGAAGTATAGTACTCAAGGGAGGAGTAATAATACTTTCTGGGAGGGTGAAGGGCAGGGGAGGGAAGGAGGGAGGGAGGGGAACTTAGTCTCAGGCAAAGTGGCAGTATTCTATCCCTGAGTACTCCACCACCAGAACACCTATCATGGTGAGTCGCGGGGCTCCCTCCTGGTCTCCTCCTTGACACACATATGTTACAGTTTATACCTTACATTCCACTCTTGAAAAATATCCTTACTAAGCAGAAACGATCTTCTATCTTGTACTAGTAAATGAAAGGATATCTCTGTAACAGTATCAATAGCCTGTTGGCATAGTAAATACTGTGGCTAGTAATATAATACGCTAGATAACAAGGGAGTGAGGGACAATGACACACTGTAAGATACTGGGGAGTAAACAGCACCAGGCAGTGTACCAGAGGTTTTAAGATTTACGAGACTAACCTGAGGACAATGCCGAGGTTGAGGAGAGCGGCGACAGTGGTCCAGGTGGTGTAGAGTGCCAGGCCGTTGTGCCACAAGATGCGGTACATCCACATATCCACCTTGGCATGGCGACACATCCATGGTCCGTGGCGGTATAAGCTGCAACACACACAAGGCTCAGTACATGATTATTTGTATATCAAGCTAGTGCAAACGTTAATTATCTATAGTCTCGTCAACTCCAGCACTAACTGAATTTTGTCATCTACTGCCAGGCCATACTCGCCTTCAACACCTAAGATATGAAGAGCTGACCATCTGGCACGTGATGGGATGTGATGTTTGTGTACAGGTCCCTCCTAAGTCTTCTTTCGCCTTTTGTCAAACTTTTACCACCCAAAGTAATGTGTTACAGTAACTCTTCAACATAAAATAATCTCCTTTGTTTGCTGCATTCATATAAGTCGACAAGAGACTAGAACAAAGCAAAAGCACGAAAACAATACATAGGTCTTGTAAGTCAGATATGGCCAGATGTGTGTATAAATGGCTTGATATACTGTAGATACATGATATAAAGACAGACTATCTCCCACTCTCATAGCTACCTGTAGTGTATCATGCCCAAGGCTATCCAGTTGGTGAGAGAGATGAACCAGAGGACGGCGGAGGAGTACACGATGAGGTTATGGTCCCACACAAACAGCCAGGCGATGTTCCCCAGCAGGTTGAAGGTGTAGGTGATGAGGAACGAGGAGGTAAGCACGGCGGGGGTCACGTACACAGGACCCACAGCGTTACGGCGACACAGCAGGATCAAAGCTGTAGAGCAAAGGTGTCAAACTCATGGCTCGCGGGCCAAATGTAGCCCTTGGGATGGTCAGGTGTGGCCCGCGGGATGACGGTAAAATTTATCATCCCGTGAAATTATGAAAAAAATAGATATAATCATGTTTATTTAGTAAAATGAATTTGACATACTTAGGATCAGACAAACCCAAATGAGGTATTCCTGGTAAGCCAGGTAAGGCAATGTGTGAAGCTGTAAACTTCAATCCTGCAAATATGTGATATAGCACTTGTGTTGGCCCTGAAGAGGGTAACTAAAATAAGAATTGGCCCTCGAAAGGTTTTGAGTTTGGCACCACTGCTGTAGAGGTCGTGATAGATTAAGTTGATTTGTTGCACTATATGTATATACATAATATAAGTACATAAGTTAAAACCCTCATACTCATCCACCCACCTACCCACACCCATGGAAGTGAGAGTAAAGAGAACGAAGACCAGAAAAAGCATGAGACCAAGATAGAGACTGACAGAGAGAGAGAGAGAGAGAGAGAGAGAGAGAGAGAGAGAGAGAGAGAGAGAAATGAAGAGAGACGTACCGTAGAGATGAGCCAGAAGGAGCCAGATGTAGATGACGGTCCAGATCATGAAGGTGAAGCCAGCTGGAGTCACATCGATCTCGTGTTTGGCTGACATGTTCCCCACCGTGGAGTTGAAGATGCCTGTACAGTCAAGGTGTCATTAGTATAAAGTAATTAACATAATAATCCTCAACCATATAATAATTAGTCTAGTTCTTGTCTAACTTTCCTAGGAAGTTAGAAATATCATAATCTTATTTTCTATTTTATTTTTTATAAGACGATAGTAAACTTTATCCAGTCTTTTACAGTTAATACTCAAAGTAAAGCAAATTAGATTAAATGGTGTAATTATGCTGCTGCTACTACTAATACTGCCAACTACTACTACTACTACTACTACTGTACTACTACTTCTAATAATAATAATAACAATATTACTACTAATAATAATACTTTTTTTAAGTGGCCTCCATCCTCCCCCAATAGCCATACCTTCGCCGCCATTTTATTACCTTAAAATTAAATATCCTAATATATCCTAAACTATCCTAGCTGTGTTGAGTTAGTTGAGCCGCAGATCTATGCAGCATTCAGTGACTGTTGCCTCATAGTCAATATCTGCAACTGTTGTCGGCTTTGGGGCAGATGCTCTCGTTCCCCTGAGGCAGAGCAAAGCCGACCGAAGGAGAGAGAAGGACAGTCGACATCTCATCCAGGCTGTAACATAACTTCTGGGCTGCTGCTTCTGTTCGGAGATCACCTCCGCGAGTCTGGCGTAGAAACATCTTGCACTTGGTCCCATCCCACCAGAGGTTGTGAACACTAGCGGAGTGAAGCTGCCTTGATCAACGTTCTGAATTCTCTCCCCATATGCCCTTCTCTTGTCGTTCTCGTTCCTCCTGTGTGCAGCATCGAGAGCTAGGTTACGGTGACATGCGGCCATGGGATAAAAAATCCTGATGTCGAAGAAGGCTCGCTGTCCCTGCGTCCAGAATCCTCGAGCACTGCCGTCAACACGGGCTTCATTGGATGTGTTTGAAGTCCTGTGTTGGAAATTCACACCGTCCAATGGAAGGAGGGTCGGTTCTACCCTGACATCACTACTACTGCTACTACTGTACTACTACTACTAATAATAATAATAACAATACTATTACTACTATTCCTACTACTAATAATAATGGCGAACCACATTGAAATTGAACCAGATTATTGAACCATAACAAAATGCTATAATGTAAACAATAACAATAATATTAACTCTTATTGACACCTGATAAATACTCATTAGTTATATCACCTGGATTATAACACGTTATCTGGTGTTAGTTAATCAATAGCAGAATGTTGACTCATTTTCACACATTTTCTATTTCTTATTTTATAGATTTTTTTATTTAATTCTATTTATTTACCTATTTACTTATTAATTTATTTATTTATTAACCTATTCATTTATTTTTATAGATACATTGATGTAGAAACAGTGCAGTATGGTGTTGAGTGATGCTTTACAACCTCAGTTATGTTAGTGTGAAACAACAAAACAATCTTGGCCAGTGTTATGTCGTGATGATAGTAAATTAAGTAACTAATTATCAATGAACTAAGTGCTACTAATATTTAATAATTTTAGACAGTAGATAACTATCTTTTAAGGGATAATTTAAAGGGAGGGAGTGCAGTATCTCTGCTTATCTGTGCAACCTCGACGCTACACTGGCTTTTATCTTTGCTCAAGTTAGGTATCTATTATGACCTCACATACTTATATATAAGAAAACCTCGACGTAAGAGTCACTGAGATTCCAATTAATCGATCTTTGCATCATAGAAATTTTTTTATCTTAAAGGACACGTAAAAATTAAAACACAATATTGCTGTAAGATCATTAATGGCTGTGACACAACACGTATATAAACAGACATAAGCAAACATAACACACACACTCAGAAACTATTCCTTCATTACCTTTATTCTCTACAGGAAACCCTAAGTTTGCCGGAAAAAAAAGTAAACAAATTGACTCACCTAAAGCTTTATGTTACGATACGCAAGTCCTTCACTGTTGTGTTTCCCCTCACAACATGGAATGCCCCTCGCTACATGCACTCTGTCTTCTCTCAACCTCCCCAGGCTTGTATGGAGATGAATTCAAGGAGCATACAAATCACTTAGTATTCGTCTTAAATATATCAGTATCAAGGAGCCTGTCACATTTCATCCCAACGTTACCAAAACTCGAACAGATTCCTTGTACAGTACCAGCTAGAGAACATGCATACTTACGTCAATCGTCTTTCCATCTGAGACAAGTTTTATAGTTACCTCGAGTAGCTCACCCCAGTACAATACTCAGGAGGTTAAACAAGTGAGCTAAAATATCTAACTATCTCATTCTGGTCAGTCAATAAAGAGAACGACAATACATAAATCTTATTCTTAACTCTTAATATTGCAAAGAACTAAAATCGTCGACAGAGTTACTAGCAACATCAATTTAAGTGTTGGATTTATAAGTAGATTGTAAGTAAAGTTAAGTAGTTTATGTGAGAGGAGACAAGTGACTAGTGAGGTTAATAGTGAGTGATAGTTGTGTGGTCGACCTAGTGTGAGGTGACGTGGTGATGACACTAGTGAAGGGAGGAGCGGGGGTGTTGTGCTGTGCGTCATGTGTACCAGATAATGGGAGTACCAGATGTGTGACAGCCAGACGCCGGGTATGTACTGTCCAATATACGAGTAGTTATGAACGGTGGATCTAGCAATGGTGTGTTATGAATCCACAGCCAGAATATTGTTTCATTCATGACCCGAGTGAAGGCGGGAACTAATGAGAGAAGTCACTATAAAAGAGAAATTTGTTGTTTTAAATATTTTGAGTCATTCCGTTACTCTGATAGTGATAATTATTTGTAATACTTAGCTGACTCGTTTATGTCCTTTAAGTTGTGTGTAAGGCTTCTTTCTACACTGCCAGGAACATCAGCTGGAAGTAAACAACAACACAAACAACAACAACAGCTGGTACTGAGGATGTTGTTGATCTTTTAACAGAGTGATAATGTCAACTGTTTTACTCAATCACTTTCAAATTGACGTCAAAGTGTGAGATAATGTACAAGACACTTCCCATGGTTACACCGCCATGGTCATTCAGGCCACGAGACAATACTGGGAAGAGTTGTTGCGTTTGTTTAATTGTAACGAAGGATATGCTATAAAGAATCTTCATGGAAATATTTGTTTTAAGGGTCGTTCGCTAGACTCCGAGGCACCCCCAGTTGCCTTAGCATGCTGTACAGTGTGCTGTATCCACACTGCCCCTAATGGGTAATAATACCTATAGGATCCACCTTCACTTTCATATGTGATTTCTCAATGTAATGCGACAGGTGAGATACATACAACTTAACACCTGGCTATGTAATCACAACTAGGAGAGGAACTTAAGAATAGGAGACATAATCCCGTACTGCCACCTCATGAACAGTGAGTTCCCAGTCAGACACTTTCACTGTTTACATTCTTGTTTAGTGAAATAAAAAAAACCGCTCTAACAGTGTCGTATCAGTGACCAGCAAAAAATGTTGGTTCAGTTTCCTTGCTGTCCACCGTGTGTCGACCTTCACATTGGGTAGTGGCCACGCAGCTCATTCTCACATTTCCGGGTTCGTGAACTTTGACTTTATTAATGAAACAAAGAGTATAGAGCTTGATGAGTCGCGCCTTCTTTGATGTCCAGTGATAAGTGGAAAAAGAGGAAGTAAATTTGTTTGACAGACAGACACAAAACAGACGAACTTATACATTATATTGTTGAATTTATGACTCAAGTGATGTAATATTTATCTTTATGTCTTTCCCAGTAACTACTCTTGAATTAAACACTTAGTTCATTAGTATTGTAACATATATTGAGATTCTGAGCAAAAATGTGAAAACAAGATTATGGCCGAAACAGGATTTTTGGGTTGAAAACATCTCATCTCTCAAAAATGAAATTTAATGTGTAAACTACTTAAGTACATCCAGAATAACACAAACACCAAAAAGTGACCTTGAAAAACCATAGACTGTGCGTAATCAGCGGTAGAAAATAAATCAGGAAAAGAAAAGTACTGTACGCAGTGACAGGTGAATGGACGTTACGTTAATGAGGCGTCTTAATGGATAGTCTTCAGCCTGTAACTCACAGATGTTACATCACGTCAAGACAGAATCATCCTCGACACGTAAATGTCTATGATCATACTGCTAACAATTACGTATGAATATATAGCATGATTATTCCCTTTTGCCTCAAGTCTCATACATGAAGTACTGTTGTCGCGTCTTACTCTGGGGTAACACACGACTCTACCCTCACCTGGCCGCGTTCTCTACCTCAGGATAATATAATTAAAACTACACGAGAAATTTTAACGAAAACTACCGGTTAACTTAGCACTTTAAGAGACAAAATTATGTTAAATTATTCTCCACCAAAATAGCTGTAGTTAGTACTTGAATATCATATATTTTTTACAACTTTATATTAGTGATTTTAACCAACCGGACTGATGAATTCTCAATATGGAAGTTTCACATCTAACAGACCCTCCATATAGCGGATTTTCCTCTCCATACAGTCCGTTAAATAGAGGGATCACTGGATGAAGCTCGTAGACTTTGGACCCCAAGCTACCTGTATTTAGGTCATCAGGGCGGTAGGGTACATTACATACACACCTTAATAAGTTTTCGAGGTTAAGTGTGACAGCAAATCAATAAATCATCATTAAAAATTGGAGTGCGTGGTGGTCACCCTCACACTGTAGCGTGTGTTGGGCAGTCACTACATCAAATAAAAGAACACCGTTGAACACTACGACCTCAGTCCCTAACTCTGAAACGCGAAAGCAAAATAGTTACCCCCCAAAAGTGTTTCCTAACCTTACCTTGTTTTCAAAGACAGCATCATCGTTCCCCAAAGTACTTTAACTCATAAAGGACTACGAGAACCTTGCAAACTACAAGCTACTTCAACAGGGAGGTGATCATGTGACCAGTGAAACTACAGAGCCACAGGTACAGTAGTCATGCAAGGATGATTAATATATGCAGGTGAGGTAACCAGGTAAGAATGGCAGACCTGCAAGATTGGTAAACTTATACAAGGACAGTATCCATAAAAATCGGCAGGTGTATAAGACGGTAACTATGCAAAATCGGGCGGGGAGAGGGGGGGGGGGGCAATCGTGCAAAAATAATCATGCAAAGATTGACGATCATGCAAATACGGTGCCCACTGGCCATGCAAAAAATGACGGCGGTGCCAAGTGTTTACCTTGAGGGGACACACCAAGGCCATAGTTTGTCTCATACCCTGGACGCATTTTAAAGATCCCTGGAAATATAGCAGTTGGGCGTCAATTGGAAAAAGCCAACAGGAGGTAAGATTAAGGATACATCAACCAGTACAGGTGCCAATGGGAAATACAAGGATACAGCAAGTTACACAATACACTGGAAAAATACAAGTATACATGAGTGTAGAGTTTAATGAAGGGTTAAGAATAGATAAATTAACGTTGATATCTTAACTACAGATATAAGAGGAACAGTCAGTACAATACATCATACAGCCTACAAACATACAACAATCTAGGGCTAAACTAACATTGAAATGGAAAATACAAATATACACAAAATAATTATTAAACAATTCTAAATAAATATCTGAAAATACAGCTCATGAAGTTAATTTGAGATGATAACTTAGATAAAAGCATAATGAAATAATTTATAAAAGCAGTACAATTAATATTAAAACACAAAAAAAAATGATTTCAAGTGTTAAGAAAATGATAGGAGCATTATAACAGTCACCAAGGTAATAAACACCTTCATTAAGTAAGTGTTAGTACAGGTATACAAATCAATTACGGTTCAGTCACACCTTGAAGACACCGCTGCTCACGGAAGGTAAGCGGCATTGGTCTGGTTCTCACATAAATAACTTGACCTCCTGAGTTAACCAGATACTGTTAGTCGTTTTTATCTTTTACTCTGTTGACTGGATATATTTTTTGTTGCTATTATTTGTGTTTTTATTATTTATGTATATATTAGCACCAATGTGGGTTTGATTGGTGATTTGTACTGATTAAATATCAAGTAGCCAATAAATTAATCAAATCACGTAATAAATCAATTAATCAATCAATGAAGGATTAAACCAGCGTCCTCAAAGGGTTAAACCAGTCATCAAAGGGTTAAACCAACGTCCTCAAAGGGTTAAACCAGCGTCCTCAAAGGGTTAATCATCTTTTATAACACAACAATAATTAATCCACTGTGCTTTATGTTCCACTGATGCTGAAGAATAACCTATAAACACTAGTACATCAGTCATCACCCTTATACAGTAAATACTTATGCCCTAAATTAGAATAACTTGACTGCAGTAGAAACAAATTAGTTGCGGTATTTTTTTTTGGTAGAGATCACCGGAAAATAACATACCTGAACTTATTTCACCTGAGTGTGTGTGAGGGGAGAGCAATGTTTATGTTATAGGTTAATAACAAACGGTTGAATATCATAAGACTAACTACTTATATTTACGGTCCCTCCTCCCCACGCCCCCCCCCCGGACCTCGTCAAAATCCTTTCCTTTCGCCCTCATAACACACACACACACCACCTCCAGCGCCGCAGTTTATACCGGAGTCATCATCAGCCTTGCCACGCCCACCGCAACCGACGCTTGCGGCAATCACTCGCGGCTAGGTCACGAGGAGGTGGAGGAGAAGGTTGAAGGAGAAACAGTTAGAGGGAGAGAAAAGGGGGAGGGGGGGTGGTAGAGTTGAGGGGGGGAGGGGGGTGATGGGTGTGGTGAGGAGGAGGGTGAGTATGGTGAGGGGGGGGAGAGAGGGAGGTGGGAGTGGTAACAACAACATCACCATTCAGGGTTGTGGTTAGAAAAGTCATCTGGAGTGCGTTTAAGACCTTCTGGCACCAAGACATATAAATGGCTAGATTGTTCACCCCTGCGCCATTACCGAGTCGGTCCCAGGCCATTTTAAGATGTTAATGGTGTCGACGGGTCATCAAACGTCAAAGAAACATCAATATCAGTTACTTTTTGTCCTTATCTTACCGAAATAACAGCCATACGTCGTTAACAAGCATCTGTGTTAAACAACCTTAGACACTATTACACTATTCATCTCCACAACACAGGCGATGCAGGAACACTTCTAAACACTATTAGAATGACTACATAACCTCTCTATGTGCTCCAGGAACTAATAGCTGGGGGAAGTGGGATTGTGGTAGAGAGGAAACTCACATGTGTATTGTACTAAAAAAACCAACTAGGATAAGAGCAGAGTCCAGTAAAATAATCATGCAGGTAGAGAAACTACATCACACATCTCGAACCAAGCGGCCAGAAGACACAATACACCCCAGTATACTAGAAAAAACACTACACCAAACATACAGGTAATAACTTTCAGTGTAGTGAAGAGGAGACAACTACACTGATGTAAGCAGAGGAGAGGTGGGAGGAGGCTGGAAACATTATATACACACCCACTATCCTCCAGATGGCAGAGTAGACTCATGTACTAAGGTCTAGTACATGCAAAAGAACACAAAGAACACCATGTACTTACCTCCAGCATATTGAGGGAAGACTGACAGCTGGTTGAGTGCCACAGTGCCAGCAAAGACGAGGAAGTTGATCAGGACAAGTGCCACGCGTCCCCCATTGTGTTCTCCCATCCTGGAAACAAAATAAAGTTAGTATGCATGTTCCTCCTTGACAGCCTCAAGCTACAGCACCCCATCATCATTACAATAAAGCAGTTCACGTTGTAAGTACCTCTTACATTCAATAAACTTAATATATTACCACCAGGATAAACATATTCATCTTCTTAAACAACTTCTAGGTAATTCTTAGACAATCTTGAACACCTTGAATAAAAAAAAATAAATAAAATAAACACCGTAATACAAAAGAGTAAATAGAATCAACATACAATATTCTGTAATAAATCTGACGTTAATTCAGCTGAAGTAAATAAACCCAAAGACCCAGAAACAGAGACAGGAATGAATTACAGATCCTGAAAATATTAAAACTAAAATCACTTCAGAAATGTCATCACGCGCCAGTATGGAACTCTCTCAAGGCTGGAAACTGAGACCCGCGTTTGTTTATCAGTGAAATCTCGACAAACTGTGTGTTATAATAGTGAATATCAGGCAGCCTCACACATTACCTCTCTCAGCTCCTCTCTTACAACATTCTCTCTCTCAGGAAAAGAAATCTCTCAGTCATGGGGAGAAAAATTTTTAATAAAACCACGTATACTCTATTCCACTCGTCATTCTCACAAGTCATGACATAATGTGTACATGACCACACCTATGTATGATGATTTGCATGACTGAACTAAAGAGATTCAATTACATTACAAACACTGAAACATTTGACATTCTTTTCAGGTTATTCTCGCCACTAAGGATGAAGTTCTGGGACTCACAAGACTAGCCATCAACCATAACCTCATGGCAACTACGACCCAACATAGCAAATGAGGTCGTTTTGCTTGACCAAGATAATTAGTATACCAAGATAATAACTCGTATAAGAATCTTGCAGAATGTGAACAAGTACGTGTAGTGATGATGATGATGATTGTGAAGTATAATGATACGAGTTAACAGATTACCTCAAGAAGTGAAGACTGTCAATAATCTTCACACTTGAGGATTTTATTCAGTTAATTAAGACACAACTACCACCATTGAGAAGGTTACCAATCTGAGTGTTATAACAGTGAGGATGAAGCAAGGGGAGGGGAGGGGGAAAGGGTGAGGGTTAAGAGGGTAGGAGAGGGTAAAATGGAAGGGGTGAGGGTAGAAGGGAGACGATAATGCAGGGAAGAGGAAAAGGTCTGAAAGGAGATGAAAGGG